ATTATGAGAAAAGAATTCAAGATGCTGGCGGAATCGAACTGTTCATTGGAGGTGCGTCTGTAGTTCATGCTGATTGATCATTTCATTTTCGCTTGTAAAATAATGCTCTTAACATCATATCTGTTCGTTTTATTATTAATAGAGGGAAGTAACTGTTAATTGTTGCAATGTAAAAAATTCATTGCTTGTTGACATTCTATTTATTTACGCAGATAAGAATAAGGCATAATAATCACTGGAGTAATAATAATAACAATAATAATAACAAATATATTATTTGTGACTTTTTACATTGTAAACTTTGATACGCACTGCCATTACTAGTGAGATAAGGTTTTATTCAGCGAAGACACATTCAAATCGGTAACAAAAGTCATAGCAATGTTGTTTGTTCATTTTTCTATAAAGGGGATGATTTTTTTGCGAATGTTCGTTTGGAAAAATTCCTGGAATTTAAGGAAATTTTCTCTGACGGAGTGTTTCGTTTACATTTCCAACGGTTTCAATCAAGTGAACAGAAGCAAAATGCAATCGCAAAAATCGGAAAATTTGCAGGAATTGGTCCTGATGGTCATATAGCATTCAATGAGCCTGGTAGCAGTTTAGCTTCAAGAACGCGAATTAAAACGCTCGCTCAAGAAACTATCCAGGTCAGNATCGTGTTGAAATGCTCTTGATCTGACTCATTCTCTTCGCTAGTAGATTAAAATAATCATTATTTATACTCGTACAATCAACTGAAGTTAATGTACCCCTATCACAGCTAACCTTCAGTGAATGTGTATTCTTCAATTAGATATGTGAAACTTTTATAGGCGAACGCGCGATTCTTCGACAACGATCTTAGCCAAGTACCAACACAAGCGTTGACAGTCGGCGTGGCCACTGTCATGGACGCACGTGAGGTTTGTTTGAAGTTGATTGTTATTGAACGTTATCATTCGTTAATAATAGCACTGAATATTGATTGTGAAAATAAATGTTCGATCGGTAACAAGATGAAAGTTACAGGTAATGATACTGATAACAGGTGTGCATAAAGCATTAGCGTTGCACAAAGCAATTGAAGACGGCGTCTCGCATATGTGGACCGTATCAGCATTCCAGATGCATCCTTCGACCATATTTCTGGCTGATGAAGATGCCACATTGGAGCTGAAAGTGAAAACTGTGAAATACTTCAAAGGACTTGCGAAACATCACCTTAAACTTATTGAGTGATTATTCACTTGATTAACGCACATTTTTGATAGCATTTCATCCGGTGAACAATTGTTACACCTCCTTTAACCATATCTGTGTTGTATTTCACAAGTAATCCTTATATCTTATGCGATCGATCATTTCAATGATACTCTTAGCGGTTTTTGGAAATCTTGTTGCTATCGCCATAA